ATGTGGGAGGATGATTTGACAAGGGAGATGTAAGGCCCAAGATGCTACAATATATACTCACCAACACTCCAGCGCACACACAGGGTCTCATTATCGGGGAGAAATCAGCAGGACAGCCATAAAACAAATACGACTCCCATAAGCAGGCTGCTCAGGAGGCTGTCTGCAATATATGCTCTGATTAACGTCTGGAATGGCAATAGCGCAAGTTAATGCTTCCTCCAGTCTGAGATGACGCACTAGAAAAGATCTTTGGGAAGGTCATACCCACTTTTATGGCCTGACAGCAAATGGAGCAACCCCCCGAATGCTGACCTTGCACTTGGCTGCAGGGTAAGTGCTGGAGCAGATTGCAAATCGGGGGAGATCCGTGGACACCAACGGCAGCTTCTTCTCTCAACACCAGGATCCCCTGGGGTTAAATTCCTCCCTGTTTCAGAGGAGGGAATGAAGCATTCCGTCCTTCTAGTGCCCAGTGCTGTCTGCATGGGATAAATCAACCTTTGGAAAAGTTTGGAAGAACTTCTGCAAATAAAACTCACTACGACCAACGCACTGAAAAGTATCTTCAGTCCCTGCAAGTATCAAACCATCTCAGGCCCTGACCCTCCCTCTGAAATGCAACTGGACTGTGCCACAAAGAGGATGCCCTACAAAAAAAAAAAAAAAAAAAAAAAAAGAGAAGATGCCCTACAAAAAACAAACAAAAAAAGCACATAAAAGCACTGAAATCATGTAGAAACAAACACAAAGAGGCTTCTGCCCAATGCGGGGAGAGAGAAAACGATTAAATTGCATGAAAAACCTGTTGCTACCACTTCTGCACTTGGCCAACAAAGAGGGCTAGAGAGGCCCCACTCGGTAAATATATACTCTTGTTGGATCAAAGGGGTAAGAATGGAAGCGAGTCCTCAGGCTTTATGGACCTGATCCAGTTGGTTTTTCTACTAATTTCTGTGGGCTTTGGCTGGTGTCCAGGCAGCATAAACAACCGAGAGCAGGGCTAGCCTTCCCTGGCAAACGAGAGCCCTGCCAGCACCACTGGTTTTCGCTCTCTCTGCCCTAAACCTGGGCTTTCTGCTCGACTCTAGAAGGCTCCAAAAGCAGCCAAAGGTTTGCCGGGCACCCAGCCGCAGTGATTTAGCTGGACCCAGGAGGACAAGTGGTGGAACCAGGAGGCCTGAGGTGGTGCTTCCTGATGTTCTGCTGTCCTCCTGTTCGGCATCGTGCCGGTGGTGAGCACGGATGCTGGTCTGAGAGTTTCCTCCCAGCCCAGCAGCTGCCTCCTGGCTCCGTTCCCTCAGGGAAGGGCTGAAAATGGAGCTTCTTCTCTCCCTCTCTCTCTCGGCATCGTGCTGGGGGAACCTTGGGTTGGGAAAGGGCTCGGGGCCGGAGCGGTGACAGCAGATGGCTCGCTGACCACCTCGTGCTTTCACCAAGGGTGGGCCTTCAGGGAGGCAGAATAAAGTTTCTGGGGCAGTTCTTCCTGTTGCGTTGCCTCCAGTAATGACTTCGGGCTTGTTTACATTAGGGAGTTGTACTACCAGTATTTTATACAGCCGTAGTTAAATCAGTACAACACCTGTATTGTGTCTGTCGTTGCCGTGGTGTGAAGGTGAGGATAGTATTTCCCGAGTCCCCCCCCCAAAAAAAAAAACAACCAAGCCAATGACAGGCAAAATGGATACCTGGAGAAAAGGGGAATGCTGTGGTGCTTTCTGACATTTCAAACTCAGTAATGGCCACCGACTTACTGTGAAATTGTAATTGGTTTACTAAAAATAAGACACTGCTAGATTGTAGACAATTACGCCCAGCATACAGCACCCAAACAGGAATTAAAAAAAACCTTGGTTCTTTTTTTAATCAGCCAATGACAGGCAAAATGGATACCTGGAGAAAAGGGGAATGCTGTGGTGCTTTCTGACATTTCAAACTCAGTAATGGCCACCGACTTACTGTGAAATTGTAATTGGTTTACTAAAAATAAGACACTGCTAGATTGTAGACAATTACACCCAGCATACAGCACCCAAACAGGAATTAAAAAAAACCTTGGTTCTTTTTTTAATCCTATTTTTTGTCCCCTTATTATTAAAAGGGGAGAGGGAAAAATGAACAATGAGTTACACAAAATGAGATATTTCTGCCAAGCAGCATTAATTCATCTGATTACAAGAGACCACCTAACATTGCCAGGGTACAAAGACAGTGAAACTCTACAAGCCAACAAATCCAGGGAGTAACTTCATGGAAACTGAACTTGCACTTTGGGGAAGAAATTGCTCCACTTTTAGGCAGAGCTCGTACGATCGGGCTGGGACTGGGGGATAACACTGTCTTTAAAAGGCCAGAGAGCCCCCATTCCCCCATCACACCTGAGATCGTGGAGAAATAGATAAAGCTCTTGGCTTCGCTGAACGGGGACAGATTTAACCTGGGGACCTTTAACTCTTGCTGGAGCTGAGCACCTCCATATTATGGGCTAGAGCTTCCCAATTCGAAGGGTGTGGGTGTTAGCGTTACCAAAAAGACCTGAGCAGAGCTTTGTGACGGTGTGGTGGTTTAATGCTCAAAACCCACCCAAATATCCTGGCATTAGCTGCCGACGGAGCTGGAGAGTGGAGGTCTGCGAGACAGAGGTGGTGGTGGCAGAGTAGACCCTGCCTTCTGTGACAAAGAGCCTAAAAATACTGAATAACAGGATGAAATTGGTAAGAAATATCCCAATCGATAGAACTGATGTTTTAAGGCGCTAATGCTACAGAAGACGTACATTTAAAAAATAAATTTAAAAAAGTTGCAATAATATAAAAGATGCTATAACCTAGAGAAGGCAAATTAAGGGAAGGAAGAGAGAGTGTCCCTGCTTTACTTGGAGGTTAACCATGGGCTGGAGACTCCCAGGCAGGGTGTTTGTGGGGGGGCTCTGAGATGACCTCAGTGCTCTGCTCCCCCCTCCACACCCAACAGCCCTCCCAAACTCAGCCCCTTTTATTATTATTATTTTTTATTATTATTATTTTTAACGAGGGCAGCAAAACCCTCAAACATCAACCTGGCCCCACAGCCTCAACCCAGCCCTCCCCTCCCCACGGGCTCGACCCACGGCCGTGATTTCCAAC